CAGAGTGTCCAGACTGCCCACCTGCTCTTGCACAAGAAGATGTACAGTAAAGTGTGGTAAGAGAGAGCTTCTTGTGCAAGACCTACACTCTTTTCAAACAAGTGTAAGCCCTCATGCGCAAGCGCTCTTGCGAGAGAGGGCAATGTGGATGCGTGGCAGGGATTTCTTGGGCAAGAAAGCCCTATGGCTATAATGGCCAGCAGAGCTTTCTTGCGCAAGACAGTGTCCACACAGCCATGGATGTTCTTGCGCAAAAGCACATGGCAGTGTGGACGTGTTCTCGTGCAAGATATTCTTGTGCAAGAACCCACCAGTGTAGACATAGCCCTGAAGAGTAACATTAAATGTGAACGAGGGGATAATCAGGCCCTGTCAGAGGGTAGCTGAGATTTGGCCTAACCACCTCTGACAGGCTGCACATGGTGGCATGAGGCAGCTTGGGTTCAGCTGAAAGTAGTTTCTCACTGAGGCAGGTAAATAAGTAGGGAAGGACCTGGGAATCATAAAAGGGGGAAAACTCAAGCTGGAGGTAGTTGCTAGAAAGACAGAGGAGTCTTTCAGCAGACTGACGAGATACTACCAGAGGAAACTAATGCTCCAAAGAGGAAGAAATTAGGCAGGTGGCTGGGGAAGATTCTAAAGTAGGAAATAGCATTAGGGTAGCAAGAGCCTGAAGACTGGTTCTGGCTGTCCCTGACCTGGAACCCAGGGAAGTGAGTGAGTCTGTGTTCCCCTATATGCCCCAGCTAGGAACTTTCAAAGAAGATTTTTCTAAGCTCAGTAGAGCTAAGACTGATTAGCCCCTATTAGAGCTACACTCAGCCACACGGGAGTGTTGGGAGGCAACTGTGCCTCTTCTACTGGCCCCAGATACGTACATTTCTGTGCTTCGGTCATAGAATGAATGCAATCAAAAGAGGCCTTGATCTACATGAGAAGCAAACATAGAGCTATATTCTTTTACTAATATCTTGCTAATGAATCCCAAATTATAAGCATAAAAAAGCCTCAAAGGAGCAGTCATTATAGATTTAATATAGGGAGCAGCTTTCAACCTGGGGAATTTCAAAGATGCTTTGGACTCAATTACCATGAAAGTTTGCTTACACTTTTATGTAATGACCTGTCAATTTTTAATTGTTTATTTTTTCACAATTATAACTTGGCTTTTTCAGACTTCCCTAGAACTGTAACAGGAACATGATAGATTGGTTTGTGCCTGCACAAACACACTTCTAGGATGATATAGTTATCACTAAGCTAAGAATTTTGCAATATTTTCTAGAGCTGTAAACTGAGACAAAATAGACATGGTTATGTTGTTGGAACTCAGTTTAAAACTGTTTTGTGAAATGTTCATTCCAACTATTTCAATTGCCAACTAATGCTAAGTCCCAAATCTTGGGCCCAATAGTTTCCATAGCAAGGAGCCAGAAGTAGCTAGTGTATATGTTTCCTGAGAGGAACAAAAAAAGCATTTTGTGAGGCAGCCATTTATCTCTTAGGCAGATACTCAATCCTTCCTGACTCTGAGGGAGAGACACTGGCTCCACTCAGCCTTACTGCTATATGTGACAAATGGCCAGGGACATTAGCAGCACACTCAAGTGTAAAGCATGAGTCTGAGGCATGGTGTCCCCCAATGCAAGGGAGCTGATTCCTGCCTAGATGACTGCCTGCCAGAGTGGAATTGAATGGTCAGACTCTGGAATAACACTTCCAAAACAGTCACTGACCAGAGGGAAGATTGGGTCTATCAATCCAAAGGCTGTCCTCTTTATGACAATCAGGGAAGGGGGAGAATCCCCCAGATCTCTCCAGTCTTACATGGTGCACTACAGGTATTTAAGTCTCTCTTTCTCCATCACCACTATGGTTAGTATAACTTATATGGCCCCAGTAGACGCAAGAAAAGGGTTGGGATATGTGATCATTTAATCTAAGATTCTACCATAATTTTTAGGCACAAATGATGAAGAATAAAGTTGCCTAGACAAATTGAAAAGTGTTCAGGAAAGAGCTACAAGAACATTTCAAAGTCTGGAAAACCTGCCTTACAATAAAAGAGTTCAAGAAGCTCAATCTAGTTAGCTTATCCAAGATATGCTTAAAAGATGGCTTGAACACAATTTATAATCATCTATATGGGATGATTTCCAATAGCAAAAGGCTCTTTAACTTAGCAGACAAATGTATAATGAGATCCAAAGGCTTGGAGCCGAAGCAAGTCTTGAAATGAAGTTGAACAGTGAGGGCTATTAACCATTGAAACTAGGGATGTGGTGGTTTCTTCCTCACTTGAAGCCTTTAAATCAAGACCTTCTAAAAATATGCTCTGTGTCAGTCAAAAGCAATGGGCTTGATGCAGGAGTTACTGGGTGGAAGAGTGTGGTCTGTGTCATACAGGAGGTCAGACTAGATTACCATAACACTCCCATCTACCCTTTAAATCTTAACACAGGTATTTCCACATTTTTGAATGCTTGACTTTGCAGGCGTAATGATATTCTTTTACTGGACTTTTTAGTATGAAATTTCATACGTTTTGTAGACAGAAACCAAATGCTCCATCTCCTCACACACTCCAAAATCTGTCTCATAGAACCATAATCACCCCTGCAATTAATCAGCAAGGTGTGAACCCAGAACCCTCCAAGCAGATCTCTTCCACTCAAATTAAGTGAATTTTAGGCTGTTATCTTCCATGTCTAATAGCCACTGGAAGGATCACACCATTCCATGAGCTTTGGCAGTGAGTTATACAACTATTTGCAAGTTAGCAATGAAATGTTAATCAGGACTCCTGGCTTTTATTCCTGGTTCTGGGGTAGGGGAACATGGTTTAGTGGTCAGAAAGTTGATTACAAAAACCATAGTCAAGCACACACTTATTCTGAGAAGCGTTTGGGTAAGCAGGGGAACAAGATTTGGATCTGCCATATTACTCACTTGATAGAAGTAACTTTGTACCATCTCTCAGTATGGTGATCTGTAAAATGTAGGCAATGACACTCCTCAAGTGGGCATGCTTCCATTGACTAGTATGGAATCTCTGTGGCTTGTGAGTGCTTACATTGCATTTCTGATCAGAAGATTAAAGCTGTATGGATGTGGGTGAGCATACATTTGTTTTGACTTTCCACCCCAACAAAATCCCATGAGACCAAACCTTAATTTACCCCAAGCTATTATTATCATTGGAAACAAGGTTATTTTGCATTCAGATGCTGCAATGCCATCCCACTGTCTGTATCACCCTGTATAGTATTTTTGGAAGCACTTGCATTACAGCTGATGACAGGATTTAAGTTCGAGGTACTTCAGAACTGATTTCTTCAAATAACCTTTCTAGTGACAAATAATAGAATTGCATTGATGTGGAATTCAATAAAGCCACCCACTGTGACTCAGTGGTTACTGGATGCATAAGATATGCTATAGAAAAACAAACTTGTTATAAGGGGAAAATAGGAAGTAGGAATAAGAGATCCTCCGGAATAGGGCTTTATTCCGGAGGATCGGGCCAGTCTAGACGCTTTTCTTCCGGCTTTTCCCCAAGCTGGGAAAAAAGCGGCGGACATGTTTATTTAAATCCACGGGGGATATTTAAATCCCCCGCGGATTTCCCTATTCCCACTTTCAAAATTAGCATGCCCCTTCCAAAAAAGGGGCCAGTGTAGACGTAGCCTAGGGGTACAGCTACACAGCAACATTATTTTGAAATAACTAGCGTTATTTCAAAATAACTTAGTCCGCGTCTACACAGCAGGCAGTTGTTTCAAAATATGTTGAAATACTGTCAAACTGGAGGACTTCTTACTTCCACTCCTGTAACCCTCATGGTATGAGGAGAAAAGGAAGTCAGAGGAAGAGTGCTCTATTTCAAAATAAATGCTGTGTAGATGCTCCCAATTTTGAAATAAGATATTTTGAAATAAGCTATGCTGATGACGCAGCTCAATTTGTGTAGCTTATTTTGAGTTAAGCCCCTGCTGTGTAGACGCACCCAAGGAATGGATTTCTCTGTAATCTAAGTCAGCAATTTTCAGACTGTGGATTGGGACCCCAAAGTGGGTCACAACCAGTGTTTCCTCTTAGCTTCCCAGCAGTACAGCTTCACAGGAAATTGATCAGCACCACCCAGTCAGAATCTCAAGGCTCCCTGCAGGGAATAGTGGTCATGACTCTGTTTTAATAGGGGTCATCTTGGGCTGGTTTACACTTGCTGGGGGCCGGCCCAAAGCCTGAGTCTGAGGGCATCAGCCCTGGCCAGAGAGGTTCAGGTTACAGGCCCCCAACCTGATACTGAAGCCTTGGGCTTCAACTTTGGTCCTCTGGGCAAGGGCAGTGGGGCTTGGGCAGACTCAGGCTTCAGTCCCCTCTTCTTAGGTCCTACAGTAATTTTTGCTGCCAGAAGGGGATTGCAATTACGTGAAGTCTGAGAACCCATGACATGTTAATATACAAAATATGTAGAATTAATCAAATTAGTCCCACATACTTTAGTTCAAACAATTAAGCTTTTCTGGAATAGCATGAAGCTGTTCAGAATTCATGGATTCAGCAATTTGGATTCTTTGTACCCACAGGTATGATCATTTTAGCATATTTCTGAAAGTATTTTTCTACAGTCAGCAATGGCCCCCAATTCCCCACACATTGATACTGGCATAAATCATGAGTAACTTCCCTGATCATAGTGGGCTAGATCTCCACATGTCCCATGGGATGTTCTGCTAGCTAAGATTACTGTCTGCAGCCCTTCTCACCACTGGCATGCCTCCTATGTGCAGAGGAAGCCGTGCTGTGTCTGCTGTGAGCTCCCTGGAATCCCCAGCTACAGTCCAAATGCAGTTTTAAGTCTTGTTTGCATTCCCAGAGAGGCTAGGGGTTTGACCCAGCATCACCTGAGCATGACATAACAATGAAAACCCACACACGCATGCACACATACTTTCAAAACAGTCTTCTTTTATTATATAAACACAGATCACCAGAGAGACAGTTCCAAGTATTGTGTAGGATTTCCTGATCATTCATACATATGATTGTTCCATATAGGTACAAAGGAAGAGAGTTCTGTTTCTTTCCGGCCTGTACCTTTCCAGGGCTGACAACTTTGCCTCAAAGTTTACAATGCTGTGAAAAAGGAAGAGCTTTCCAAGTTGAATATACTTTACAGACTCAGGGCTTGAATCTACTTTTAATCAATGTTAATTAGGAATAATAACATCAAAGTTAATGGGAGATTTTGCATCTCTGAAAACAATACCACTTGTTTTGATACTTGAAAATGTAGTTTGATGCCTAACTTTTAGACATCTGAGTTTAAACATTTTGGTCTTATTTAGTATTTCATGTGTAGTGGAAAACCAGACCACTGTCAATAGTGTCAGCTGAGCTAATAAAATAAACTTCCCTCCAAGCCCATCAGTAAGAAAAAGTGATCAGAAAAAAGTTATGTTGAATTTTGCACTAAATTAAGGACTGAAACTATATTAGATGTTAAAGTAAAACACTCAATAAAAGTGATGCTTTTTATTCTGAGCACATCTGTAAAGCCATAGAACTTTACCTCTTGTTAAACATGTTTTTCAGCTCTTTGTATTTCTCTGACAGAAGCAGTCTTTTCAATTACATAGTCAATTATTGATCACCAGTTTTGCATTTTGAAGGCGTTGATGAAAGACAGCAATGCAAAACTGATATTGAAGTGCTTGGCCTGCTTGTCTATAAGCTACAGACTTGGCAGCTATGTGGAAAGAGCAATTTAATTATTCTTGGGCTTTTTTTTTTTTAACCTAGATCCACTACAATCCTTTCCCCTTCCCACATTCCTCCTCTTTGTGTGTCTATGCCCTACAAAATAGCAGAACTGTGCAGTTCCATTGTATGGTTGGAATCCAGGCTTCAGATAGCTGACACCTTCTGGATTAGCACCACCTTTGTCGTGCAAAGCTTGAGGAAATGGGGGGTCTCGGGTTCTCAGATCTTCCACCACCACTACCCCCCATCAGGCTTGGAGGTATGGCTTTGTGTGTATAAATGACTTGATCACATATCTGTTAGTACCCAAAATGTGATGCACAGTTGCAGATCAGTGGAAGCAGGGAAAGGGGCTGATTGAAAATTTGGCTCAAAGTTTAAAGCAATGATTTTCAAGGCCATTAATAGGAGATTTGTACAGAGCCATTGCCAAGTAGCTTCTCCTTAGAGAATTAATTTGTTAATTACTTAGGGTATAATTTCTGGTTAAATGTTTTCTATTAGAGTGTAGTCAATTCTCATGATTTTATCATGAGTTTCATAACTGTTGGTGCTTTCCTTAAAGCCTAATCTTCTGGAGTTGCATGATCATAGAAGAATTTTAGTTTTCATTTAATATCTGAAGAAAGCTTCTTGCCCTTTTGAGTGCATACAAAAGGATGAAAACATGACTGGCAAAGGCTGGAACACCAGAGGCGAATAAAAAGAACCCAACAGTTATTTTTTTAAAAAATCTCATGAGTTCAAACCAGTCTCATGATAGTTTGAGGCCTGATACATGATTTGTGAATGCTTGATGTTGGCAGTATTGGTGTTATGAATTACATCTGAATTCCAAAACTGTAATGTAATTTCTCAGCCACTGCGTTCTGCAGCCCACATTTTATACCTAATTTTATTAGACGGCAAGTAAAAATAGCTTTAGATGCCAGAGAGCTTGAATGCAGTACTAAAATAGCCTAAATCAAATTGTGTGTGCATGTATATTATTTATAGATACGCACAGACCACACGCACAGTAATGTGACATGGTATAAAGGTTTTATGAGCATGAGTTTAGTATGCTGCATTATGCTCCTTAATAATAGCGCAAGTTAGTTTTGCAAAACATGGAAAATAAGTGTCAGTAAAACCTTCATAAGTAAAATATACTTTACACACAAAATTAAAGTAAAACCTCCATATGTTTATGGTTCTACATGACCTTATTTGACAAAAAATCTATTACTGAATTTTCAAAGAGGTTTTCATATAATTTTGTGGGACTGTGATTTATCTATTTGTATCTTCCATTCACATAGCCAGGCTGCCTTAATATAATGATATCTGTCTCAGGGAAAGAAAAATTATAACTATGGTTCCAACCTGGACCTTCTCATATTCATCAAGATAAGTGTATTTATTTGTAGGGTCAGTGCCTCTCTTTTGAATAACCTCCAAAATAAGTAAGTAGCTTTTATAATAATAATCATGACATGATTTTAATGTCTGAGATTTCATGTCCTTCCAGGGATTGAAACAAATACATGAGGAATTCCCAGCTGCTCTATAGTGGGATAAAGCACTTATTTCTAGTTCTGATGACTCACATTATATGGTCCCTTCACTGGGTCACTGCTTCAGTGATAGGTAGTTGTTGGTTTTGTTTGGGGATACTAAAAAGTTTAGGAACCAGCGCTGCCTAAGCCACAGAATTCTGATTTGGATTCTGAAAGCTCCTCTACCACACTCCATCTCCTGCCTACCTTTCCCTAGTAACTCCCCTTACACTGGGTGCAGTGGGAGTTGCAAGATCCATCTATTCTGGTTCTATTCCTCCCATGGATCCCTTTGCACTGAGATGCTCCTGAGATGCCATTTTAGACACTGACTGCAAAAATGTATTCAGGTGTGTCATTTTTGTGCACATGAATAGTCCTGCTGACTTTAATGGGACTACTCATATGCATTTAAACACAATACAGAAATGCTTACAGGACTGAGGCCTTATAGCAGATCTGTAGTTCACTAGAACCAAAACTCCGGCTTTGTAATCCAATATAACTCACTATTGTAGGACAAGAAAGGGGAACTTTCTATCATGAAGAAGGGACAGTTCTCAACATTCTAACTGGATGCCAGTCTTCCCTGCAGCTCTAGAATATCGCAACCTAAGCGACTTCAAGATTGTACCATTTTTATTTATAAAACAGAGCTCTCTTACATCATCTCAGAGGTTGTTACATTATGTCTTACATCATCTCAGAGGCTCTTTTACTTCAATCTCAGCTTCCTCTGAACCTTTTGTATCTGCACTCAGGCTAATTAAGGCACCTGGCTTTTAATAGAGGGATTTTTTTTTTAAATAGCACAAATAAAGGTTCTAAACTCTAAAACATGCTTTAACACATTGTTTGTGATACACGTGATAACTACAATCTATGCTCTAGGGTCATAAATAATGTACCATATCAAACTCATGCTGAACATTTTTCCATCACTCCCACTCAAGCATGCATTAGCTATGTATAGTGGACAAGTGTGTATACATGTATACAGCATACGTTCATGTTTATTATAAAATATGTTGCCTATATTTTTGTGCTTGCCATATATGTACAACTATTATACACACTGGGAGGCAGATTATGCCTGCCCTATTAAGGGGCATGAGGACCTCTTTGGTCCAAGAAAAGTAGATTAGTCCTGAGATGCATCATTGCTCAAATAGCCCCCATGGATTGAATTGCCAAGGTGTAGTTCTGCCCCAGCCATTCCACCCTCACTCCTCTGCAGCCTTTTTCTGCTTCACCTTTTATTGAGGTCCTTTTGATATTTTGTGCAAATATGCAAATACAACAAACCAGATTCACAGATCTTTCTAACAAGCAGAAATTGAATTATTCTCAGTTTTAGATTTAATTTTATTTGTCATCTATTATGAACAAATTACGAAATATACTTCATTCACAAACTGGAAATATTTACTATTTCTTTACAAGAAGGCATTGTTGAGGTTTTGATTTCTGGCATTCTTGAAGCATTCTGTCTTTCAAAACAAAGACATCAGTGTTGTTTTCAGAAGACTTATCCTTCGCTCATTTGCACTCTGCATGTGCAATGCAAACCTTTTACAAGTCTGATTTGCAATCTCTTCACAGTACAATCTACAGGTTAAACCCTCTCCATTTTAATGGGATTAAAAAAAAAGTCTTCATGAGAGGAAGAGTTTGAAAAGCCTATCTTGAGTGCTGTGGTAATTCTGCGAAGTTATTTGGACAAGAAGAAAAAGAATAGAGGTGGAGTGAATAAATACTGTATATCCACAAAATCCTTGGGAAAGAAATTTCAGATATGTTTCTAAAGGGAAGTGTGCTCTTCTGCAGTTGTGAAGTTCTAGTAATAAAAGCCAAGACTGTTTCCATTTCATTTCAGTCTCTTGGTGCCTGTTTGTTTGTCCTGAAAAATCTTGAAAATATTTTTTCCTTTAACTTTTTAAATCTTTTCATACACTCTTCCATTGTAAATCAGCTGTGGTCCTCCATTGCTCATATTGTCTGTCATTTCCTGTAACAAGAATAAAAAAGGGATGATCAAAATTAAAATTATTTTATGGATCTTGAAATAATTGGTTAATGGTCTAATAAATATGGAATGGGCCCCGAATGTCAATATTCAGAGGTGTTGAATCTTTTTAAAAAAATCACATTATTAAAAGAAAAACTGCCAATTTTCATGTGAGGTGAGTTCTTATGACAGATGCTAGATTGACTGTCCCAGAGACAGGCATTCATGATGCACAGAACACAGATATGTCACAAATGGCAGCAGTGCAAGCTTCCTCACACTGTCCTGCCAATATGCTTCCACTGAGACATGGATGGCAATCTAATCAGGAGTGAAATTGTAGGTATCCAGGTCCCTTGAGACCTTGGCCTCTCTGCTCAGATGCCCCCAAAAGTGCCAGTTAAAGCAATCTCTGAAAGCGATTTTTGTGATGTAGAAATTAGTCTGCTGAGGTCATCAAAGCCATTTCACATATGCCATCAATCAGTCTCTAGATCGGTGAGGCTTGTACTGAAGCTTTTGAGCTGCAAGTGGCCCTTTTGCAGCTCTTTGCAGAACATGATATTAAAACAGTGTGAAGTGATTAATCAGTCTAAGTTATTAGCCAATCTGCATGCTTTTACTAGATTACTAGCCAATAGTAGTTGGTAAAATATTACTACTTGGACAGTCCTTTTGTTTTGAGAATAATATAAACTAAACCTTTCCTCTGTCATATTGCTCACATATACATACATAGTACTACAGAAAATGAACCTATGAATTCACACTCCTGTGGCTCTTTTGGGTAGTACTGATAGCTAATTTGGCTTCTGCACCACTGAGGTCTGAGTGTCACCACTCTAGAATATAGTAATATTTTGTCAGCTGGGCTATGAGTGAGCAAATGACCACAAAGTGAAAATTTCGGTTTCCCATTTCTATCACTTTAATTTATTGCCAGCATTTTCTATTTGAATGTACTTATCATTTCAGAATGAAATATTCACAGTCAGTATTTTCCTGACATTTCTATTCTAAACAAAAAATTGTAGTTGAGTTTACAAGCATTTGAATGTGTTGGATTTAAGACATGAAAAAGCATATATATTAGAAGTGGTGTAAACTGGTGGTGGATTCATCCAAACAAGATTGTTTGGATGTCTACAACTCAAGTGAATATGTCAAATACTTGGCTTACTTCCAAATCACAGCACTCCACCACTTAAATTGTTTCACTAACTGTTAATACCTGTCCTGAATGCATTACTTCTGAGAGTGACTTCACAGCCTCAGCCAACACTGATTAGCTGAAACTATGCCTTCCTCTTAGAGGTGGGATTTTTCAAAAGTGACATGACATAACACGGTAGCTGCCTAGAGTTCAGCATACCTTGGAGGTAATTCTGGTGTCGGGGGAACCACCGGGCAGCTGGGCAGGTCGGTTATTTCAATACCCCTCAATCTCTAATATAAATATAACAATTATACAATAAATATAGCACAAACATATGCACATATAGTACATGTCTATATTACTGTATCAGTATAAAATATAAAAAATATAAAACTCTTTAGACTTATGTTTAATTAGAGCCTAATTTAGTATTAATTTTTAAATGTCCCTCCATTGTTTTAAAAGACATGCCCTGGTCTTAATGTACTTTGAAAGACTTGTCCTTTCAGGCACTGTCTTTCTCTGCCCCACCCTCTGTTCTTGCATAAGGACTCCTCTTTGTTTTCTTATCACTGTTGATGCAAGAGTTTTTTTATTTGTAGCTCCTAGCAGCTGAAGAGTCTTCCTCTATCTACCTCATTGATTTTTGCTTGTTTCAAATTTCATCTGGAAATGTATTTTTCTCCCTCTTTAGTTTATTCTCTGAACCTTATTTTAATGCAGTGCCTATGCAATTTAATTTTAATTGAAAGAGTGTGTATGAAAGATACTATATGAGTTGTACCTTTGTATAAATAGGTACTGCCTTAGAGATTATTATAATGATGATGATGATTGGGACATTTAGGAAGTGCATTTTACTGTGTTACATGCAGAATTAAAAAAAAGATGTTTAATCAGATTAAAGCAATATAAAATTGTAACACGTTTTAAAAATGTAGCAGTATTTCCTTAACATTTTTAAATGAGTCCAGACAGTTGTACCTTTGTATAAATAGGTACTGCCTTAGAGATTATTATAATGATGATGATGATTGGGACATTTAGGAAGTGCATTTTACTGTGTTACATGCAGAATTAAAAAAAAGATGTTTAATCAGATTAAAGCAATATAAAATTGTAACACGTTTTAAAAATGTAGCAGTATTTCCTTAACATTTTTAAATGAGTCCAGACTCTAGATCTGTGTAGAATCTAATCTCAGTTAAGAAAGTAGTGAGCAGTGAGCAGACTGCAAAGCAGTCTTTCCCCTTATTGTACTTGGCACTGTTACATCACATTTTATCTAAGAATCTCACAAAGCTTTACATATATGAATTGATCAGCCATTGAGGGAGGTGGTGGATATCATACAGACGGGTGACTAGCCACAGAGAAGATTTGTGTAGGATCCCATACTGAGTCACTTGCAAAGGCATACATAAAATCCATGTTCCTGGCTGCTGCTAAACACTATCCAACCTCTTAAATGAAAGAAAGAGGGCATCCCATCCTTATAGAAGATTTAGAACCTAAATGAGTATTTCACAGGTCAAGAATCATATCATTACACCAATTAGATGGCTTTAAGAACTTTATCTTACTTTAAGCCAACATTTTCAACCTTCACTTTAAAGCACCCAAATAAAGAAAGAAAAAGTCCCTCTGACCATTGGAAGCTGTGAGTGCTCAGAACCTCTGAAAATGGGATCACCTTTATTTAAGTGTCTATCTATGCCTTAAGGTGCTTAATTTTTAGTAACTGATATTTGAAAATGGTGCCCTTTGTGCTTGCATAGCCTACTTTATTAACTGAGTATAAAGGGAGAGAAAAGAATTGATTAAATCCTGCCAATATGAAATGATGTAGGTGCAGAAAGCATGCCATGCTTTCCCCCAGTCCAATACATGATAATTCATATCACTAAGGCTTTCAATTATGTATGATGTGCTATATTTCGAAGCTAAACCTTTGAACAGCTACACAATGGAATTATATCGGAAATGGATGTACTTCGCTGAAATGGATATACTGCAAAGATACACCACCTAAAAATAACTCCATATACTGCAACAGGATAAAGCTTATACAAAATGGTCACATTTCATTTCCCAGAAGCGCTTTCTCATATGTAGTCAAAATTGAATTCACTTACTGCCAATTGCATATGTTAGAGAGAGACAGTGGGTGAGGAAATATCTTTTATGGAACCAACTTCATAAAAAAAATTACCTCACCCACTTTCTCTCTCTCATATCCTGGGGCCAGCACAGCTACGACATTACATAACTGCATAAATTAGCACATACAGTTGCTTTGTAAGAAAAGAAGAGCAAACAAGGAAAGGCGCCCAACTCACTTTCTCTGCCATTTCGTGGGAATGATGCAGTGAATGCTCCCTTTCCGAGAACATTCTTCGTTGTTCATAGCTGGCTAGCCGACAAGTGAGCCACGAAGAAAGGGTGCAACCTCCAATTCCAATGCAGGCAAGAGACATGGAAGTGAGATGCAAGGAATAGAGGGTGGAGGACTTCTTTGTTAGAGCACGAAGGAACTGAAAATTTAATATTCCTCCAATTAACCCACAGATGCAACAGGCTGAAAAAAGGATCATCTGTTAGGAGAAAGAAGAGAGGCAATATCACAGTGACATTCTCCAGAGATTACAGGTCCCAGACAAGACCACTCAGACTGAAAGTTAGCTTGACTATAATAATAATACTTATTACTAACATAGTATACATCATTTAAAGCACTCTACAAACAACAATTACTAATCCCCATAACTCCTGTGTGTAGGAGGTCAGTACATGTTGAACCTCTCTAGTCCATTACTGAGATCCAGCAACATCTGTGGTCTGGCATGATTTTAGTTAGCTAGATATCCACTTACCATGGGCATGGCCAAGTTTCCCGCAGTCCCATAAAGTTTGTTTACAGCCACCAGTCCTGGCTCTAATTGTTCTTTGACATTATTCAGCTGTAATTTACTCCTAAATGTCTCTAAGAGCCCAGTAAGCAGCAGAAGTGTTGGTAATGTTGCTAGACAATATTGACCTCCCATGGTTCAGCAAATTCTCTTGCTCGGCACCAATCAGGTCCCAAAAATGCTGGACTAGAGAGGTTCAACCTATATAGATTGCACCTCTCAAAACCGGGAATCTCTAATCAGGACCATGGATGTTCTTCTTGAATGAGGGAGCCCTAGGGCAGGAGGGCCAACAGCTGAGATCCCCGGGCATAGAAAGATTGGTGGTAGTGGGGCCAGGGCCTCAGCAGCCCAGCAACCCAGCTGGGGCTAGAGCAGCCCATGCATACCAGTGGGGCTGGTACTACGGCAGCCAGTTGGGGCTGTGTACTGGCCTGGCATTGGGGCAGCTGCCATGGCAGTGGAGCCAGCACCGCATGCTGCTGTGCCAGCAATGGGGCTGAGGCAGCCATGTCACCCAACCGACAGCAGGGCCGAAGGAGCTGGCAGCAGGGAGGAGCGGCAGGCTGAGGTGGCCGGTGGCAGGGGACCTTTCCTGGTCTGGTAAATTTCCTCATTCAGGACCACTCAGGTCTCAAAGGTGCCAGACCAGGGAGGTCCACCCTGTATAACCCACATTTTAAAGTGGAGGCACATCATGCTAATGTGACTTCCCCAAGTTGATGGCAAATTAGTGGAAGAATAGGACTAGGATTCAGGCCACCTGACTTCCCTCCAGCTCCATATTCAAAATTCTGAGCTAAACTTCAAAAGCCTGATTTTGATCTGACACACATCCATTTTAAATCAGCAAAATGCAGTGAGAGCAGAATCAGACACCATCTCTGCACCACTTATTTCCTCGGCTGGAATGCAGTTCTGTAGTGGTATTGATATTGAATCTCTCCCGAGTCTCAGTGCCACCAACCTTCTCCTCCTGTTCTAACCTCCTCAGGTCAATGTGTGCAGTTTGGTCATGGCCTCTTTGTTTGCCACTCAAGCAGCTTTTGTATAATCTGAACATTTAATCATGGTTGAACTTAAACCAGTGAAATATCTGACAAATTAAAATTTGAAGCAACTGTATCAGGTACAGTGAGTGAGGTGCTACTTTTCAAGTTTAGTTGATCTGAAAGATCTTCTGGGGTCCCAGAAACATCTAAACTGGGCTACAAGTAGCAACAAGTATCACTGCTTGAAGACTGAAAAGTATTTACTACAGTGATGGAAGTAACTTTGTGGAGCCCCTGGAATTGCTCCATGGACCACCAGTGCCTCGTGTACCATTGCTGTGTGCCAATGGGATGGTAACTTTAAGAAGAACATAGTTTTCAAACTATTGTTCATGGTCCACTGGTAAGGGAATATTTATTGTGGTCTAGGAGACCACCAGAATTGACTAAAAAGGTGGGGGGGAGAGGGGACTTATTTCCATGGTTGGAATGCTCCACACAATGAAGTAATCCTTGGAATATTTTTTTTAAATGACCATCACTGTTATAGGGAATTGAATAGTTCACTGACTCTCAAAAGAAACCATAGAGAGAATGATTCTCCTTCCACTTATACTAGATTTACATGAATATAACTCCTTTGACATCCATGGAGTTAGTCCCAGTTCTTTCTTGTGTACATCAAAATCAGACCTATAGAAAACTACAGCCAGTTTCAATGCTTATATAAACGGAAACAATTAAATAAGCTTTAACGCTGGGCTTTATAATAGGATAATATTTTAACAGATAAAATATTTCTGCAGTTGCTTTTGTATCAATTGTACCATCTGTCTGCAGTCAGGAAGACTATACTTCAGATTCTTATATGAAACTGTTCTAAATTATTTTAGAACTGGTTTAGTCATGACTCAGGTTGAAAAATATTAACTTACGAAAACCAGTGAACAGCTAGAATTTCTGAGATCAATCTGGAGCAGTAACCTTGGAACCTAATCCTGCACTCACCTCAGGACTGCGATGCTGGTCAAAAAGGGCACAAGTCCAATTCCCACTCAAGTAATTAGGAATCCTTCCATTGATCTTAATGGGACTTGGATCAAGCTCTTAATCAAGACAGGGATAACTACAGGGGATACATTTTTGACATGATTTGTATAGACCATTTAAATATGTCTTCCCTTTGCTGTATTAACCAAAGGGCTGATTGTTTTTCCTTGACAGCTTGTGTTTACTTTTCAATGACTTGTTTATCAGCTGCATTTTGGAAATAAAGGAGTCCAGGGTGAAGAGTTCAAGTTACAGCAGTTTACATTTCAAGTACTTATGCATAATGCATGCAGTGCAAAAACTTACAACGAGTCCAGATTTTTTTTTGGCGCACAATATTCCACATATGCCACAAAGCAGAAACTGCAAGGGAAAAAGTACAAATTATTTCATCGTCTAATGCCTTGAGTTCTAAATTAAACTTTGCTCTTGTTATTGCAGTGGGAACCACAAAAGAAGATTATGCAGTTGTTACCATTGTGCCAGTGTTTTTATTACAAACCTTATGTTTCAGGAAGTTATAACTCATCCATAAACACATGTATCCAGGAAGAAACTGGGATGAGAAGTCAGCCTGAGGGTGATTGCTCATAAAAATAGCAAAAATTAAATAATATATGTTTTATAAGCTATGAAGATAAACAAAATATGAAAAACAATGTTGCCAGTATAAGAAGATTCTTTTACCCTCATGTTGCTCAGAAATTAAATTTGGCAAGGCAATAATCAGGAATATGGCCAAGTATTCTGATACTTTAAAAACATATAAAGTACTTATGATGTCATCTTGTAAATTGAAACACTCAGGGAGCCCATGTGGGATATTATTGAAGTCAGCTGGTCTTAGCACAGGAACAGAGGTTCACTGGTGTGAATTAGGTTGTAGAATCTGGGCCTAACATTTGAAATTGCTGCAATGTATATATAGTCTGTTTTAGCATGCATCTTCCAGACATGTAGTGAGCAGTATGACCAGAGTCAGATTAAGACATGCTAAGGCCCTAAACTATGTCAAGTTTTAGAGGTCCCATAGCATTACCAAAAAATGTATTACAGGTTGGGCGTCCCTTGTCCGGCATGCTCAGGACCTGACTGGTCCCCAAGGAGGGAGTTTGCTGGACCAGAGGAGGTCAGCCCCTCTGCTGACAGACTTTGGGCTCTCCTGGGAACTGTCAGCACATCGCCATGCTGTAGCACAGTCCACCGGGCTCTCAGCCCCGTGGTCACCACCGGGGCTGCCAGGCACCGCTGCCTCAGGGCCAGCATACTCAACAGCTTTGGAGCCACCAGAGCTCATCTGTCTCTGCCTTGAGCTGTGGCTCTCTGGTCCAGCAACATCTATGGTCCTGCTGGACCACGGATGTTGCCAGACTAGAGAGTCCCGGATCAGAGAGGTTCAACTTGTGTTAGGACAATGAAAATAGAAATAATAAAGTTTTATATCTGCATATATACCAGTACATAGGCAAGAATGCAACTAAAAACTATATATTTTTTTGTATTTAGAGGCCCCCCATAATCTGAGGCCCTAAACTGTAGCTTACTTAGCTTGTGCATAAATCTGTCCCTGAGTAGGACATACCATAGGAAGGAGCTTTTTTCTTTACGCAAATTTAGTGCTTATAAATTAGCTGAACTGATAATGCTGGAGACTTGTATTGGGCAAACAAAATTCTGTGAATAGATTTATTCCTTATTTTTTGAATGAGTCCACTTCAGCCCTATCTGTGTCCCTTTTACTTTCTGTGAATTGCTTCTTGTGTCCCCTGAGATGTGCATGTTAATTCAGGCTTGCCTGGGGAAGCAATGGGAGTACAGTTCCTGAGGAAGCTAAATTGACAAGGGCAGTATAAGGTATAAGGAGTTGTAGGCGAGTCGCAAGATTATTGTGGGGAGGTTGTGGTACTGCTACTCTTATTTCTGTGGTGCTGCTGCTGGGGCATTGTCTTGAGAACTCAGTGCCCAGCCAACAGTTGCCGCTCTCTGGTCACCCAGCTTGGAAGCTGGTGCAGAAGTAAGGATGGCAATTCTGCCATCCCCTAAAAATAATCTTGAGACCTGCATCCCCGCTAATTTTTATGTCTATGTGCAGAATGACTTTTGTGATGTGCACCAACGTGGAGGTGATGTATCCCATAACAAAAGTCATTTTGCACATGGACACGTATGGTGGGGTGGCACCAAGGGGTTGGAGGTGCAGCGGGGGACTCAGGACTATGGCAGAGTGTTGGGGTACAGTGGGAGACTAGTGCCTGAGAGTGTAGGCTCTGGGGAAGGGCTTTGGGATGCAGGCTGACTCAGGGAGAGAGGACTCCCTCCAACCCTCTCTCACTGCAGAAGCTTGGGGCCAGATGGCAGGCACTATTCCATAGCTGTGGCAGTTCCAGTAGGCATTGCCGGGGGAAGGGTGCCTGTCCCTCAGCCATGACAGTTTCATGCTGGACTGGGGTTGGGTAGGTATCAGGGCCATGGGGCTGCAGCAGCTCTGGGGCTGCTCCATGCTGGAGCCAGTGGGGAAAAACACATCTCCACTGGTTGGGGCAGCTCTGTGCTGGGACCAGTGGGTGGAAGCGCCTTTCCCTCAGCCATGGTAGCTCCAAGTAGGGCTGGTGGAAGGAGGCACCTCTCACCCAGCCACAGCAGCTTTGGGGCTTGGGAAGTGGCATCTTTCCCTGCTGCAGTCCTGAGCCTCTGGGCAGGGCTTAGTAGGAAGCTGGGTGCCCATGTGGCTATGCAGCTTAGAGGGAACTTAGCATATGTCCCTCTGCTGCATCTCCCTTTTGGATCAAGACCCCAATTTGAGAAACACTGGTTTCCCCTGTGAAACCTGTATAGCATAGGGTAAAAGCACACAGAAGTCTAGATTTCATGGCCCATGATGTGTTTTTCATGGCCATGAATTTGGTAGGACCCTATACGCAGCATAACATAGAAGGGCTTCATGTCCATTCATATATGCAAGCATGAAGGGAAAATTTTACATGGTGAAGTAACAAACCATTGGATCTGTGCTTACATGAGTGCAATGGCTGGAGGGCCAGTAGCACTTACTACATCTCCTAGCCTGAGATACCAATTAGAAGGATATCGAGATGTTTCACTGCAGTGCCCAGGCCTGTCTACCCCTCAAGTTGGGTAAATTTCAGACTTCCAGCTTTTGAGCAGGACACGTACATAAAGTTCTTTTACTTAGACTTTACATGGGATTCTAGAATTTCACTCAAAGTTCTGTCATTATATATTAACTTTAGTTTATGGCATACTGTATTTCATACTTTTACATATGGCGTTTTGTGATTCTCAGCATCCAGATGGAAAATACAGCCAATTCTTTGTTTGAGATATCGTAATAATCTCATTCATTCAGTCTTGATGACTAAATAATGTAAATAGACTAAGTAATGTTGTTTCCTTCTCCTGAAAACTTGACAGGAGTAAAAGAAAAATAATATCTAGAAAAAAGAATGTTTATCAGTTATAGCAAGCTTATAAAAAACTATCTGGAAAATACAATAAATGCTATTTTCAATATGTAACAAATGTATGTACATAAAAAAAGCAAAACTTCCTCTATTTTCAAAGCAGTGTGTTTAGGAATTTAGCTGCAAAACTGATGGCATAGGTCAGATGGGATGGGCTTTTCAAAAGCTTTGCAGCACTGAAGACATGAGAGTTTTACCATTGTCTTCAGAAGGACCAGACTTAAGCCAATACCAAGCCATTTTGAAAATCCCATCTATTATGACTCAGCTTTTACAATTTCCTCTACTTCAGGTTACAATCAAATTTAATTCCTTTACTTGCAGCCAGTGCAAACTCTAGCAATATCTTTGATTCCTGAACATGTAACATCGGCCTTACATTCTGCCAAGAGAGTAACAAAAGAATTATAGAGTCACTTTGCTCATATGGACTGGGACCTACCAATCAGCAAGATCAGCTATTGATTTACTGTCCTTCAAGTCACCCAGCAAATTGTTCTTTAAACCACCATTTGATGGTACCATTAAACCAGTGCGTTAATGTACATTTTCAGTAACAGTCCAAAGAATATGGAACAAGCCATTGCAGCAGGTATACCTTAGTCCTTCGGTTATTCTCTAAAACGATATTGAGTAGGTCCTAAGATGCTCTCTAGGAACTAGCATCTTTTACCATATCAAAGCAGTTTTCTCAACATAAATGGATAAAGAGTGTTTTGTGATTAAGACACTGCGCGGGGACACAACAGCTGTTAGTTTCATTCCTGGCACTGCCCCAGGTTTCCTGTGTGATTTTTGACAGGCCACTGCATGTCTTCTGACAATATCACAAGCATGCTGTGAGGCAGCCTTTGCTAAGATTCAGGAAGCACATTGAGATGCTGGGATAGTGTGCAAGGATATTACTATTACTGTATTTTTGGGTTGTTGTGCATCAACCTCAGGACATTTTTCAGAGAAAAGGATTCTCCAACAAATAGAATGATGCGTCAGTTACAGCCAGGATGTATTTTGTCCAGTGTTTCAGGCAACTTAAAATCCCACAAAAATGTATGACCATGTCAAGCCCTCTTTTTTTCTGTTGGTGGTGTATCCTGACCCAATGAAACCGGTGTAAAGCTGCTGCACAAAATGAGTAGAGGAATTTAGAGATCTTACTCAGGGATCCTTTACTATTCCATCCCAGAGACTTTAGTTGCCTCATCCAGCTCAAACTCCCTCTTTCCCCAGAAAGCTCTGGAGAGAATGGGAAGTCAAGGGAGATTATAGGTTGACGCTATCCAGTGTGGTCTGATTGGCAAACCAGACACACGCAATTACACCCCAGCATGGAATTATGGTGTTTTCCCCATACATTTTCTGGAGGTTTTTGAGGACTCACTATTACTGACAGTGGTGATGTAATGTGCGTGGGAGGCACGGGTCATGTATACAGAAAGTAGGGCTTGTGCACAGTTCAGTTTGGAAATAAATCTGATAGGTTTGTTTTGATTTGCCTTTTGAGTTTTGAACTCTTAGGTTTCACAACACTGTTAGCTGGAATACAACATGAGTCACTTTTTCTGTCCTTAAAAAGCAACAAATAGTCTAGAAGCACCTTAAAGACTAGCAAAAGATGTAGATGTTATCATGAGCTTTCGTGGGCACAATCCACTTCTTCAGTTGACTGGAGTGTTGGAAGTCCAGATCCAAGAATAAATAAGGGAAGCAGGGAGGGAGGGAGAAGGAAAAAAATAGAAGGGAGGAAGAAAAAAAGAGTCAATAAGTAGATAAGCTTTAGAGGGATAGCCAAGTAGTATGTAGAATGTAGTAGAGAGATAGCCCTTGAGACACCACCAACTTCCTGAGGAAACTACAAAACATCAGTAAACTACCTGAAAA